ACCACGATGAAGACCTCCGCGACCAAGCAAGCAACCTCGCCCGCAACCACCTTCCCCACCGCCGTCCCCGAGATCGACGTCTGCGGCCACGCCCAAGGCGGCGTCACCTGCCCCGGCGCCGGCGCAAACGGCTTCTTCTACCGCTGCTGCTCGTCCGCCGGCCACTGCGGCCCCAAGAACGATATCCAGGACCAGAACCTCTACTGCGGCGACGGCTGCCAGGCTGGCTTCGGAAAGTGCGACAACCAGAAGGCGCCTGCTGAGCCTACTGCGCCCAAGGGTACTTCGGGTGAGGGAGAGACGTGCGGTCCTATTGTCAACAAGAAGTGTGGTAACAACCTCTGCTGCTCGGGATCTAACTTCTGTGGCTCTGGTGAGGACTTCTGCGGAAAGGCCAACTGGTGCCAGAGCAAGTGGGGAAGGTGCAACTAAGATGTTGGATGTCAACATGGGTTGGAGTAGAAAAGCTGGGGGTAGAATAGAGTTACGAGTATAAGAGTCCATGGGACAATGAAAAGACATGAGAACGAAACATCATTCGCATACATGAACATTATGTTGGCATCCCTTTCGTGCGCACATTCTCGCTCGAAGCCATACTATTGGCTCAATTCTTCCTTCACTAAATACTTTGCACACGCTAAACGCGCGCACACAGCAACACTGTCCTCAGAAGCGAAATATATAGGCGACGCATGGATAGCCTGTAGTCGAACCCGGTTCCCAGAAAGCGAAAACGCATGTTGTCTTGAGTGCGGACAGCTCCTGTGTCTTGAGTGTTTTAGGCAGCACATAGACTCCAGCGCCGGTATATACTCTCCACTCGTATGCCCCCGGTTACATTCCTCCACCCATCCATATCAATCGCCAGATCAAAGAGGTGAAGATTTGTGCGCGGTATGAGGGAGTGTCAAAGCTATGGAAGAAGTGCCGAAGAAGGCGAGGGCGATGTTGCCATACGGGTTTAGATTGAATAATCTGGTTGGGAGTGCTGAGGCGGTGGCACGGGAGGAGTCACTCATACAGAAATTAAAAAGACTTTCTTTTCAAGAGGAGGGCGATTGATACGAAGGAGATGTTGGATCATATGGCTGAGGTGGGAAGGGATGCGGCCAGATCTGTTGTTGAAGAGATGTAGAAGAATAGTGACAGGGCTTGGTGGAAGGATGAGAGGGATGTTTTGGTTTGATCCTTGAAGCATCCACGATCTGATGTGCTCTGAGCTTTGTGGCAGCTTCTAGACATGACTAGAGAAATACGATGGCATCAATGCGTTTACAGTTCTTCATGAGAAACAAAAGGTAATCTGTATACTTCGAGATTAAGATTAGTGAAGCAGACGCGAAAAGTGGTGAGTAGTGGTAGTATCGTGAGCGTGACTTCTGTTCTCGCAGCCGGCACACCAAGTACCCAGCACCAACATCTCTTTCATAGAGCGCTATAGCACATGACATCGTCGCAGGTAATCATGTGAGGTTCTCACGAAGAGAACGTGACAGGCGGTAACGTTGGCGGTTGAACTGCGGCTGAGGCGGATGACGTTAGCGCGATTAGGCTCCTCGGGGCGAACATGCAACAAAGCCGAGAACGTGTCATAGCTTGGCTTTCACATGATGGCAGCGCACGCACGCTTCCTCCACAAACCTGTCACATGCTCGACGCTCACCCAACCACACAGCCTCAAACCAGCTAATGCGCCGCCGCTTGTCGACGGGCTGAACGGCTATTCCTGTAGTCATGGACAAACCACGCAGGACGGCTGACCTGGCCTTCCCCCATTTCCACGCCTTTCCCCGTTACCCCAGACGGATCCACACCGGGTTTGACATTGCGACGTGACATTCACATGCTTACGAATTACAACACACGCATTACCGACATCGTAAGCCCTGCGACACCACGTGGAGACCCGACTTGACGCCTTCCATGACGCACAGTAGAGCTGCGACTGTATCCACTGGGTTCGATATAGCTGTTTGTGCTGGGAGAGAAGTACAGTCATGATAGACCATGTATTGGGACGGCCGTCGGTGCAATTTAGGAAGATACAAGTACTGGCTGTAGTGTCCTTTTGGTCCTTCTACCTCTACAGGTAAGCAAACATCTACTCTTACAACCGCATCATTGTATCCTAACAGACGCACAGAGGCGATCGCCATGGCCCACCAATCCTTCGCCGCGTATCCGCCCTCCTCTCGAAGAAACTCACCGTCTGGCAATCCGTCCTCATAACACTACTCTACCTCTACGTCGCCCGCAATTTTGGCAAGCTTGTTGGCCTTGAGTGTCCCGAGCCCCTCGCAAGCCTGTACTCGCGTTCATACTTCCGCGCGACATGGGTTACAACTGCGCTGGACGCTGGCTTCTGGTCTGCTATGCGGATAAAACGGAAAGGAGTCAGGGATCTGCTGTCGATTGTGTTCAGCATATACTACATGATATGTGCTGAGCAGGCGGATGAGAAAGTCAGGAAGATCAGAGCAACTCTCACCGTAGACCATCTGCGCGTTGCATGGAACAAAGGGACGACACCATATCTAGGCGCATTGACTAGCATGATGCGACCAAGGCTGATGGTGTATCCGCCACGCCAGATTCGCATACCACGACCGAGGGCTAGTTCGTACAAAGAGCCGGTGACAGGATGGCTGTACTTCAACGGGCCACGGAGTGCACTGAAGAAGCAGGATAAAGTTGTGTTGGATATCCCTGGTGGTGGCTTTGTTGCTATGAATCCGAGGAATCACGATGATAAGCTCATGGGCTGGGCTGGCAAGACGGGACTGCCTGTCCTCAGTCTGGACTACAAGAAGGCGCCTGAACACCCGTATCCATATGCACTGAACGAATGCTACGACGTCTATCACATGATCATCGCGTCGAGAGGAACTTGCATGGGCCTGTCAGGAGAAGCAGAGCCGAAGGTCGTCGTCTCAGGCGATTCAGCTGGTGGAAACTTGGCTGTGGCCATGATACTCATGATCCTTCAGAGTGGTTCCACCGAGACGCGGAGATGGCAGGGCGAGTCCCCTATACCACCACCGATCGGCGTGGTGTTGATCTACCCTGCGCTCGACATGAATATTGGCAATTGGATGACGGACGAGCAAATGGCCCTGATCCGCGATCGACGCGTAAGAAAGACGAATCGACCTATATTGCGGCACAAGAGCGACGATTACCGACAACTCGCACCGAACACACCGTATGGCTCTGATGATTCGGATAGCGAGGACGAGCGCACCAAAGTGAGCATGGCCAATGGGTCTATGCCCAACGCCAACGGCGGCGACATTACGTCTCCCCAGACCATGATCAAACTCTCCGCCGCACACACAGGTCAAGATAGCAGTACCGCCACTCTCCAGCAAACTCCCAGCCAGAAATCAAGTCTCCCACCAACACCTCTCGCAACCCAACCTCCCACTCCTGGTGCCGCTGCCACTCCCGCACCACCCGCCACAGCCATCAAAACCCGCCTCGCAATGTCCAGCATGATATCCTACTTCAACGACCGCATTCTCACCCCCGAAATGATGCGCGCCATGATAATCCTCTACATCGGACCCCACCACCGCCCCGATTTCAGTACAGACTACCTGCTCTCCCCGCTCCTAGCACCAGAGTCCCTCCTAGCGAAGTTCCCACGCACTTGGATGTTGACAGGCGAGCGCGACCCCCTGGTCGACGACACTGTCATTTTCGCTGGGCGGCTCAGACAAGCTAAACGCGCAGAATGGGTCGCAGCGAAAGAGCTAGGACTAGACTGGGCACGAGGCAGTTTCAACGAAGAAGATAGCGTCGTAGTCGATCTCGTCCCCAGTATCAGCCACGGTTTCCTCCAATTCGTCGGTGTATTCCCCGAAGGCTGGAAGTATATCTTCAAATGCGGAAAATGGATTACCGAAGCTTTCGAAGAAACAGACTCGAGAAGGTATGGATACGATGCCGAGACACCGGGATATACGCCTGCCGCGGGCACGAGCACAAGGAGAAGGGAAGGTGGCGATTACTTCGGCACGATAGGCCTCGCGGATGCTATTGACGGACTCACAAGTCCGAAGTTTAGTCGCAGAAGACATCATCGTAGGAGCGGGACGGCGAGTTCGGCGGATGAAGATAGACCACTGGAGATGACGGTGCTGGGGAAGGGGAAGAGGAGTCCGCAGAAAGATGGGGGTGAAGGTGTGGCTGGTGCGAGAGGGGTTGGAAGGGAGAGGGGCAGGACGAAGAGTGATAGGGGGAGGAGGAAGAGTTTGGTTAGTTTAGCGAGTGAGGATGATTTGTTGGGGAGGCGGATGAAGAGTTTGACTGGGGCGCTGGGTGGTGATGGGGTGATTTGATCAAGGAGATGGGGCTGAGAGGGGGGTCGATGTGTTAGCGAGCGTATATATGGTATTTACACGTTTAGCCTTTGAATAGAGAGTTACTTGATTCAGGGTGGGTTGGGTATTCGTGGATTCCATCATGTGCTAACTCTTGACAAGCCCTGGAGGACACCGGAACATCAACCCCAAGGATATATGCCGTGTCCTGTTTACAAACAGGTACTCGATCATCCTGGAACGCAGATATCCCGCGCCGAAGAAGATATCAGTCCGTCCTGCACAGTCTTGCTGTGCCGCAATCACGGCATCACCGTTGATTCGTCGACAAGTCACACAAGCGCTATGAAAGGACCGATCCTTGCTCCATCACGCGCATTTCGCTGCGGGCTCATGTATCTCTGGCCTATTGTAAGGCTAGGAAGTTTCACAGAGATACTTCAAGGTTTTCTACCCTGGTTGTGTTCGGTCGGAATGGCTTGGCATGCTGGGAGGGAAAGCCGCACTTGTTTCACTACGGAGCCCGCCCCGAGTCTTCTGGCCTGATTGTTGCAATACCGAGCCTGGTTTTCTTTCATCTCTATACCAGAAAGTGTGGAGCTTGTCTCTTCTGCTAAACTCGCCTTCACCACAAACCGCTCATATCCTAACTCGGGAAAGCGGATCCGGCTCAAGATGAGGGGAGCATACATTGATAGGCGCCAGGGCTCGGTCTTCCCAGAGATCACCTCCTCCTCCTCCTCATTAATTGGTGCAATTGGCACTGACGATGGTTTTCGGACTATCACTCCCAGCTCCCGGGTCTCATCTGCAATTGGTGGTGTACCATCTGACACCGCGCCGGCTGGTTCAACCATAGGCTCAGAGATAACGTCAGATACGACATCTGAGATATCTCCCAGCTCAACCGCAAGCTCGCCGATCTCGAGCACGGAAGGCGGCGGCGGCGCATCAACCCCTCAGTCATCAGCGGCGTCACAGGACAACGGCAGCGGTAGTTCAGGGCTAGGAGGCGGCGCAATCGCTGGCATAGCCATTGCAGCCGTCCTCGTTATCGCGCTCATCGGTGGATGGTTCTTCTGGCGGAGAAGAAAACGCACGAGAGGGAAGGTCACGAGCACTGGGATTAGTGCGCACATTGCAGGAGACGGAAGCGGAGACGGAGGCATACCAGAACTCGATACAAAGGAGCGACCACAAGAGATGCCGGGAAGTCGACAGGTGGAAACGCAAGAGCTGGATCCTACACAGTACACCAAATACGCTATGAATGGATCTCATGAGCTGAAAACCGAGCCTGAGCCAGCTGAGCTATTGAACGGTCCCGACGAATACACTGCACCAGCGCCTTATCACGCTCCGCAACGATCTGCTGCTGAGATGACGGATATGACTGAGGCAACGAGTAACCCACTTTCATCTAATGTTGAAGCGCAACGGAGAAGAGAAATGGAGTGGCTAGAGATGGAGGAGGAAAGGATGCGGAAGCGGCGAGAGTTGCTTGCGGCGCAGGGAGGTGCGACGCCTTGATGGTACAGGCACAGCAAAACCTATACTTTCCAAAGTATCAAGCCAGTACACACATAGTAGTACAGAATCACACCTATACCCGCCCATGTCTCAAGACCACAATCTTCCAAACTCTCCTGCCTGCCGAAGTATCGCACCGAGTCAAAAGCACCAACACATTCCTGCGACCCAAACTGCGACCTCTATACCCACCACTCTACCACATGCATTGGAATGACGATACAACCTTGACCGTACCGGTACACAGCATGTTATCGTCGAATGAGAAGTTGGTCCTTTATGCACAGCCTTGCTCGCTTGACTGTGCCGCAAACACCATCTCCACGTTTGATTCGACGGAACATCACAAGACCTGTGTGGAAGGGCCGATGCATGACTTTCAACGTGTAGGTAGGTGGGTACCTTTGTATCTTTGACCTATCGCATAAAGGTCATGCTCGTGGCGATATGCAGCAGTGTGTGGAGGTACCCCGCCCGCCTGCGATGATGTATTCATCTTGGAACGACCTGCTGGACACGGGTTTATCTGCCCCTCTACCTTGAAAGTTGTGCAAACTTGTGTTTCGATATCCTATACCAAGCTACATACATCTACCCAGCTCTTTGCCGTCGCACGCACTATCCCGCAATGTCCGATTCACCAGCTAACACATACGCCTGGTACGTCGAGGAGTGGAGATCTGCCAGTTGGCCCTACCCAACGACCATATCTCTCTCAGACAGCGCAGACGATTGGTCAAGCACTCTGATGATAGTCGCGCACCCCTCGCCGCGCGGTGTTAGGCTGCCCGGAGATACGCACATTGTAACGGTTGGAGAGAACCATGTTTTCAATGGTATTGAGATTTCGGTTACGACAGATCCGGATCAGATATACCTTCGCCGCAGTCCGATCACGTCAGAGTCGAGCGTTGTGGAACAAACCTTGATACCGCCGGCAGAAATCCCAAGACCAACTTCCACAAGTGATGGCGAGGACCCGACAGCTTCAGCGGCTGATGCGACCACTAGCTCTGGCAGCTCAGGCAGCTCAGGCAGCTCAGGCAGCTCAATCTCAGAGAGTAGCGCGAGTGAAATACAGTCTGGAGATAGCAGTCAATCTACCGTAACCGCATCCGCCAATGAAAGCAGCAGCTCAAGTCTGGGAGGCGGTGCTATCGCCGGAATCGCTATAGGCGGTATACTCGTCCTCGCTCTCATAATCGGAGGATGGTTTTTCTGGCGACGAAGACAGCGTTGGAAAGCGAAAACTTCAGGTTCGGAAGACGATGAACAAGGCACGAGGGTCGTAAGCACTGGAGGGCCACCTCCACAGTACTCCCCGCCCGAGAAACAACCGTATATTCCAGACCACCATCAAGAAATGCCGGGGGATATAGTCATGCCCGCGCAAGAGTTGGATCCAAATCAGTCCGCTAAATATGCGACGCATGCAGCACGGCATTCTACGAGTAAAGCAGCGTATCAGTATGAACCGGCTTATGAGCTTCATCCTGATGGTAGACCGGCTGAGCTATCGCATGGAAGAGAGGAAGATATTACAGCAGTGCACCCTCATAGGCCACAAACACCAGTAAATCAGACCGACGCTGGTGGGGAAGCTGGGGTAAGGAGTGCTGCAGTGTCACCGAATGTAGAGGCGCAAAGACGACGTGAAATGGAGTGGTTGGACATGGAGGAGGAGAGGATACGGAAGAAGAGGGAGACGCTTTCTATGCAAGCAAGCGGGAAGAGTCCATAACGCCTTTGCGGTTTCTATGGCATTCTTGTTTAGTACATACTATCTTAATATGATTTTTAATTCGAACAATTGGAAAGCATGATTGTGAGGCACAGACGACACCCGCTAGGCCGAAAGGATCGAAGGTCATGTGTGATGTTGGCCGCATCTTCGGCCTCAGGAACATCGAATCAGTGCTCAACCGCATGTGGGCAATTGGGGGCCAGAAAAGGCTGATTGGACAACGCGACCATGGAATTCGCTGCTGGACAAGGACCCCTACCTAGGTACAGACAGTTGCCATGAATCAACGAAGAGCAACAAGCGCATCTAGCGCAGGATGCCGCCTGCTCCTACTTTACAGCCCTTCTCTGTTACAACCGTAAAGTGTGGCTAACATCTAGGCCATACGTTGTATACAGCAAGCTGCATTCTCGCCCGTTGGTTCAGATACATATAGTTCCAACTGGAGCACGAGATTTTCCAGCGAATGAATGGAATGCGCAGTCAGTACCGTATATTAGCAGCGCTCAAAAGAGCAACAGCTTAACCAGATTCGGCGCTCATGTCTACCCCTGGACCCGGGTGTAGACCGATGAGTTCAACCTCGCCGCAATGAAGCCCTTCAAGCCTCGTTCAGGCTGTATACAGGGACGGTGAGGTCCTGATAAGAGAGTATATCCTAGATCGTTTTACATCAAAGCAGATACCCACTTCGTTACTGTCCAGGTCTACATCTCGAGTCTTCACTTCGTGCAGTCGTATGTTCATTGAACTATTTTTTTTTGAGCTGCGTCTCGGTAGCAACAATCAGAATTCTGCAAACACGTTGAACATGTCTACATCCGCATGGCAAACCGAACGGATCAACACCAACACCGACGATCCGTATACGACGACTCTGCGGAGAGATGATACCCCGTTAGCAACAATCACAGTACACATAACACCAACGCTTGAACTTCGATTCCCAGAAGCCCCACCGCTACAAACAAGCTCCACCATGACATCAGGTCTTCTTTACATCTCCCTCCGAGGCGAAGAAGATGGAATGGCGATTCTGTACTCGACTCGTACGGACTTTTCATACTCACGGAGTCTAGCATTGGCAAAGTCGAAGTCACTAAGCTTGCCATCGTCAACGAGAATGGGAGACCCGATCGCGTCCAAGTCGCCTCGGCCTAACCGAACCTCACGCCGTAAACATACCTCAAGCGGCACTATTGCCGGTATAGCAGTAGGATGTGTCCTGGTCCTTGTGTTCATAATAGGTGGATGGTCCTTCTGGCGTCGGAGAAGACGCGCAAAGTCTGCTACAAGCAATAATACCCTTGGGTCCGAAGGGCACACGGGACGAGATGATGAGAAGATACTCTCCGACAACCCTACATCCGGCGCGCATCAAGAAACGTCTGGCGACAGTCACGCACAACAGCTTGACCCTTCGCACTCGAACACAGGGGAGACGCATGGGCTTGAATCCGATGATATCTCGGGAAGATTACCGAATGCCGCAGTGGGTGGAACAAACGATGAGGGGAACAAGGAGGTGCCAGCCACGGCCGGGGATGATAGGGTTTCGCATGTCTCGCCACACATATAAGCGCCAAGGAAGAGAGAAGTGCAATGGCTGGAGATGGAAGAAAAGAGAATGTGAAAAGGACAGGAGGTGCTTTTGATGCAAGGGGGTAGGAATGTTGATGAAGTAGGGAGAGCTGATAATGCAGAGGCGAAAGGCGATATTTGTGTCGCTCAACATACAGCAAGTACCTAGGTAGTGAAAGTTATCAAACGAACGTCATATAGTCGGACGACGTCGCTCGTTGGGCCTTTTACCGATCTCTTGTGATGTCTCGGGCATATCTGTGGTATCGGATGAAACAAGCGTTAATGCAGGTGCAGTCTATATATCCTGGTCATGGTGGCAGCCTGCAGGCGTACAGCCTCAACGAGGCCTGCGCTGCATGTTGTTATCGCAGTACCTCGAGAACTGCAAGGAACATATGCGAGATGCCGTTTGGTCGCTACTGCGTCGACTGGTCTTTAACAACAGTGCTACCCTATGTACGGGTCAATTCGTTAGTTCAACGCGGTAGCGCCTTCGTGTCCCAATCACCTGCGCGTCGCAATACCGTAACACACAATGATTGGAGCTACTGTTGCACAGACGGGTACTATGAACAGAGAGGCTCGCTGGGATTAGAATGAGATTCGGGAGTCTAAATGGGCAGGAGGGTAATGCAGTGATTAGCTGGCAACTCATCCAGGTTACCTTCTTCTTAACTGTCTTCCCCGACTCTCTGACTGTCTTTGTAGACTTTTACGCCATTCAGATATCACTCACCATTGTACGGCCCAAGTGCAGCGCCTCTGGTCTACTGCACCAATGTCAGCATCAACATCAACAGCGAAAGTGACTGATCGCGAGTGTATACAACTGGGGGCGCAATGTACTGTAGCCGCCATTTCGCCTCAAGCATGGTCTACCTCGATCATTCTTACGCCTACGACTAAAGTAATCGACAACAAATTTGAATCGGGGATCTACACGTGGGATGCACTGGCCTCAAAGTATTCGGCAGCGGTCGTATTCGAAATTCTACTCGAACCAGTAGTAGCTCTTTCTTTTCCACCCAACATAACTCTTACGAAAGGAGCCTACGATATAACGACGAGCGGGTATGCTATTTCCATGTTGACATATAAGGGATTCGCGTTCCACACCGTCAACGATGGTCGGACAGAAAGCGCAACCTCATTGGCGACTGATGCCCCACCCACTAGCGAGTCGACGGTGGTGGAAACATGGGGAACAAGCACAGGAGCCTCACTACAGAGTAGTAGATCCATCTCAACTTCACTACAAAGAAGTAGTGGTTCCATCTCAACTATGCCATCGATAACTGCAACACCGGAAGCTATGAGCCCAAGCCTCCAGGGTGGTTCAATCGCCGGCATAGCAATGGGCGGCGTCCTCCTCCTTGCACTTACGATAGTGGGCTGGTACATCTGGCGCCACAAACAGCGCTCCCGACGCGATACCACCGCCGTTCTCACTGAAGAAGAATTGGCTAAAAGAGAAGGCGACGGGAACAAAGCAGTCCTCGACGTGGATCAAGTCGCACCAACATCTGGCGCATACCAAACGCACTACCAAGAGATATCTGGCAAAGGCCTCACTCAAGAATTAGATCTATCGCTGTTGAACGGGGTTGGAGCGCATGAACTCAAGGCTGAAGACCCATCGAAGGAGTTGATGTGTCCCGGTGTGAATCCACAT